TGTTTAGATGTACTTTCAGTCTGTAAAGGATACACAGAGCAGTATAAACAATTTCAAGTTTGGGGTTATGATATAAAACTTAAGTAGCAAACCATCTGTTTTGTCACAACGTTCACAAGGGAAAAAAAATAAAATTCGGTATGACAAAGATATTCAGAGGCACGCTGAAGTTGCTACGATCTTGGATCTGGGAGAAACATGAATGTAATAGTACATACAGCCATACAAACTTCAGAGTGGTGATATGAAGTTTGAAAGTTGTAATGATTATTAAAACAATCACGACCTCGATGGGTTTTTTTCAGGACTGGAGGCAGAAATATCTCAGGTCATTCAACTGCATCAACCTCTCTGCAGAGAGCGAAAGTGATCGTAACCCCTAAAGTACTGAGATTGATTAAACTGCAGCAGTCCGCAAATATCTGCCTTGTATTTAATTGTACGATCAAATGATAAATTGAGATTGTTTTCTAGTATGTAGAATACCATATTTTTTCATCTTTTTCCCATAGTTTTAATCTATATAGTGCCTTCGAATTGATGTTTTATATATTTAATCTGTTTCTGTTTCCGGTGGCGCACTAACGCCTACCTTTACATCGACCAAGGTCCACGTTCATCCGTTAGACGAATGTCGTGGTGTACAATAGGACCATTGTTTAAACCCAGGTCGATGTAATCCTGTCACAGTGTGCAAATAGCGGCGTGGACATCCTTAATGTTAAACATACCTACAACAATAGAATCATTTGTACTGAATGGTTTGCAGTCGAGAAGGTTTAGATAATAGCTGTAGATCCGGACTCTTATCCTGACAGACGATGTACCAGCATCAAACATGACAAAAATAATAAAAAAAGCCGCTTGTGTTTGTCCTTCAGTTGCAGCAATTCAAAGTGTTGGTAACTGCTTCCTGTTATGGTGGATGTATGGAATTTTATTAGAACGAAACGCCGAAACAATGGCTAGCTTTACAATAATATTTTGACGTAAAGTCAGCCCTGTAGTTGGTCGTAAAAAGGAAATGTTTACTTTGTAATTAAAGGGTTTTATCACATAACGAAAAAAGTCAAACTGAGTAAACAGACATATATAGATATACGATCAATGAAGAAATAGTGACATTACAGACAAGCGAATTGTCAATTTTTCGGAACAACCTGTCCCTTTATCAAGACTACCATTATTGCATAAATTACATCACATACATAAAACATAAAACAAATGCAAAGTTATAAATATAAATCTGGAGCGGTTGTGTAAATTAAGGTGTCTCAATAATCCCTTCGGCAGATGGACGCCGAAGGCACTTTTATAACGGACAACAAACCATCCCAAGTTGTTGTATGGAAGATGGTGATTAAAATATCAAAACTCTTTTATATCAATTTCGGTATGTTTTGCACTGAGCGTATTTGTGATGCAGTCATTAATTTTTTTACGATAAATTTTGTTATTTTTTGATAAAACAACTCCTCGTTTAGAATGTGGCCGAGATGTACAGGTGGATTACTTTCCTCGGAGTGTGACATGCAGTTGTTCTGTTCACTGAGAAAATAGAAAACTTGCATAGTGATATTTATTCGATTAATGTAAATAAAAATCAGTTAAACCATGAAAAAGGATGTTACATCACTAACATCACCAGAATCGTTCATACTGATGATATTATGGCAGGCTCCGCTAAAATCAAGTGTTCTTTGTATTTGAAGTAAAAATTTGTCAGATATTTATGTCTAAACATTTTCCCACCATAAATATATAGTTCATTCTCTCTGAATACAGGGATTTGCCTACATTAAAGACTTTCAGTCTTCTTTGTTTTCGGTTCTGGAGAATATCAACAATCTTTGTTGAGACAGCCTGTGTTAATGCCTAAAATGATGACTCTTTCTGAGAACGCGTTAAAACTATAAGGTTTTGTAATTACGGTGTACGGTGTCTGGGAACGGACATCATATATCTTACATTGTGTGGGAAGGAAATGCTATTTATCTTAATGGTGTGTCGATTAATTTTAATCGAATACCAACGGTTTTGATGGAATGTCGACGATTTTAATGGCGTGTAGACGGTTTTAATGGTGTGTCGGACATTTTAATTGTGTGTCGATTAATTTTGTTGGAATGCCGACGGTTTTTATAGCATGGCGACGGTTTTAATGGCGTGATGACGGTTGTAATGGCGTGATGACGGTTGTAATGGTGTGATGACGGTTTTAATGGCGTGATGACGGTTTTAATGGCGTGATGACGATTGTAATGGTGTGTCGATTTTTGTTTTGACGACTATGTTATTGTCATATGAATTTGTAGATCATTTCATTCCCGGATATCGTCATTACCTGTGGCGACATTTTCACTTCAAATAGGTTTTGTAATTACTTTTGTATCAATGTGTCTTCAGCGTACCATGGAATTATCTATACTTAGCTATGGAGATCATTGATTGACTCGCTCCAAATCATTAATCGACAGTTTACAACTGATTTATGTTAGAGAATGTAAATAAGTAACTAAAATAATCTAAGAAATGGATTCGCTCAATATAACATACATTGATTTTCCTCACATTATGATTAAAAATTATTGGCAACTTCTTGAAACCAATTTTACATGACTAGATACTACCAGTCCTGAACGCCAGAAGAGTTATAACATGTACCATTGTCACTCATCTTGATTCTGAGAACAATAAATTATTCATTAACTATTTCATCGTGTTTGGCTTCCTTACACGAAATCACTACTGTCGTCCTTTACACAGTGACACTAATGTCTGTCGTCCTTTACACAGTGTCACTACTGTCTGTCGTCCTGAACACGGTGACACTACTGTCTGTCGTCCTTTACACATAGACACTACTGTCTGTCGTCCTCAACACAGTGTTACTACTGTCTGTCGTCCTTTACACGGTGTCACTACTGTCTGTCGTCCTCAACACAGTGTCATTACTGTCCGTCGTCCTTTACACAGTGTCACTACTGTCTGTCGTCCTTTACACAGTGACACTACTGTCTGTAGTCCTTTACACGGTGACACTACTGTCTGTCGTTCTTAACACGGTGACACTACTATCTGTCGTCCTTAACACGGTGACACTACTGTATGTCGTACTTAACACGGTTATACTACTGTCTGTCGTCCTTTACACGAAATCACTACTGTCTGTCGTCCTTAACACGGTTATACTACTGTCTGTCGTCCTTTACACGTGTCGCTACTGTCTGTTGTCCTTTACACGAAATTACTACTGTCTGTCGTCCTTAACACGGTGACACTACTTTCTGTCGTCCTTAACACAGTGACACAACTGTCTGTTGTCCTCAACACGGTGACACTACTGTCCGTTGTCCTTAACACGGTGACACTACTGTCTGTCGTCCTTTACATGTGTCGCTACTGTCTGTCGTCCTTTACACGGTGTCACTACTGTCTGTCGTCCTTAACACGGTGACACTACTGTCTGTCGTCATTTACACGGTGACACTACTGTCTGTCGTTATTTACACAGTGACACTACTGTCTGTCGTCCTTTACACTGTGTCACTACTGTCTGTCGTCCTTTACACAGTGACACTACTGTCAGTCGTCCTTTACACAGTGTCACTACTGTCTGTCGTCCTTTACACGGTGACACTACTGTCTGTCGTCCTTTACACAGTGTCACTACTGTCTGTCGTCCTTTACACGGTGACATTTCTGTCTGTCGTCCTTTACACGGTGACACTACTGTCTGTCGTCCTTTACACGTGTCGCTACTGTCTGTCGTCCTTTACACGGTGTCACTACTGTCTGTCGTCCTTAACACGGTGACACTACTGTCTGTCGTCATTTACACAGTGACACTACTGTTTGTTGTCCTGAACACGGTGACACTACTGTCTGTCGTCCTCAACACAGTGTCACTACTGTCTGTCGTCCTTTACACAGTGTCACTACTGTCTGTCGTCCTTTACACTGTGTCACTACTGTCTGTCGTCCTTTACACAGTGGCACTACTGTCAGTCGTCCTTTACACTGTGTCACTACTGTCTGTCGTCCTTAACACGGTGACACTACTGTCTGTCGTCATTTACACAGTGACACTACTGTCTGTTGTCCTGAACACGGTGACACTACTGTCTGTCGTCCTTTACACTGTGTCACTACTGTCTGTCGTCCTTTACACAGTGACACTACTGTCAGTCGTCCTTTACACAGTGTCACTACTGTCTGTCGTCCTTTACACAATGTCACTACTGTCTGTCATCCTTTACACGAGGACACTTATGTCTTTCTGTAATTGACTTCTGTTGCACCAAAAACAATAATGTCTACATGTGTTAATCAGTCGGTAAGGTTTAAGAAATTTTTTTTTCTAGATGTAACGATAAAAAATCTTTATTCATCTCCTTGCCATCGACCTATCAGAACGGTGCTTCCGCAGACCCTTCTGTCCGTGTACAGATTTGGATTAGAACAAATTTTCGCCACGCTCGTGTTTTTCAAAGCGAAGAGAAGATTTCACTTATGTTAGTGATACTTCAGTTCTAGATTAATAACTATTTTATTAATAAGCTTACGCTCGTCACATTGAAAAATATATCGATTTCTCTCCTACTCAATAAATCACCTGCAAATTGCACTAACCTTACTCTGGTTTCGCATTTGTCTATAAAAAGTAATAATATTCTGTAAACTCGCGAGAAACGCCTGATAACGAGATTTTTCGGCATTACTGGGATATGCTGAGATTTTGGATAGGGATTGATCATTGTGAAGGATATAAAAATCTGTGGACGAAATCATCAGTGCTGATTGGAGATCCATGTGAAATCAATACGACGCATGGCTACTGTCGACAATAAGAACCAGATCATTGTTTATCAGTAACCGAGAGAACTTTTGGGCGTTAGAGGAATTCGTATATAAAACAGAATATCTAGGTAGATGAAATTCGATATTAACACGCCGAACATAATTACCCACTGAGATTTATTTTCTTTTCGTTGTCTGGAATGGCTGGGAACAAGAAACGTAAGTATGAAATATCAATATTTATAATTTACGACGTTTAATTAAGTTGTTGACCATAAAACAACCAATTGAAATATGTTACTTTTTGTTCGTTTCGACTGCATTAATCATATTTTACAACCACCATTGTACTTCTGAAAAAATGACGTATTGTCCTCGATAAAGACGCCATGTTTTTAAACCTAGATCTCGTGTTATGGAAAACATATTATGGGTAAGAATTATGAAGTTACCTAAGTACAGCACCTAGATCTTGTGTAAGGGTAGACATGATGTTTAAGGACTAAATCTATGTTGTGTTATGTTAAATACCAGTTCTAGGACTGAACTTCGACGTCCTTTGTACAATACGATGTTCTAAGACTGAATCACGATGTCCTATGTTAAAAACGATGTTTAGGACTGAATTTAAATGTGTTATGTTTAAAAACGACGTTTAGGACAGAACCTAAGCTGTTCTATGTTAAAAACGATGTTTAGGGCTGAATTTAGCTGTTCTATGTTAAAAACGATGTTTAGGACAGAACTAAAATATGTTATGTTAAAAAAACGAGATTTTAAGGACTGAACCTATGTTATTCTATATTAAATACGATGTTTAGGACTGAACCTATATTGTGTTATGTTAATAAAATGTTTAGGACTGAACCAAAATGACCTATGCTAGAAACGATGTTTAGGACTCAGTTAATTTGTGCTATGTTTAATACGATATTTTAGGACTAACCTATGTTATGCTATGTTAAATACGATGTTTAGGACTGAACCTATATTGTGCTATAATACATACAATGTTTAGGACTCAACTAATTTGTGTTATGTTAAATACGATGTTTACGAATGAACCAAAATGACCTATGTTAAAAACGATGTTTAGGACTTAATTGATTTGTGCTATGTTAAATACGATGTCTTAGGACGGAACCTATTTTATGCTATGATACATACGATGTTTTAGGACTGAACCTATTTTATGCTATGATACATGCGATGTTTTAGGACTGAACCTATGTTATGCTAAGATACATGCGATGTTTTAGGACTGAACCTATGTTATGCTATGATACATACGATGTTTTAGGACTGAACCTATGTTATGCTAAGATACATGCGATGTTTTAGGACTGAACCTATGTTATGCTATGATACATATGATGTTTTAGGACTGAACCTATGTTATGCTAATATACATGCGATGTTTTAGGACTCAACCTATGTTATGCTATGATACATACGATGTTTTAGGACTGAACCTATGTTATGCTATATTAAATACGATGTTTAGGACTGAACCTATATTGTGTTATGTTACATACAATGTTTAGGACTCAACTAATTTGTGTTATTTTTAATACGATGTTTACGACTAAAACCAAAATGACCTATCTTAAAAACGATGTTTAGGACTTAACTGATTTGTGCTATGTTAAATACGATGTTTTAGGACTGAACCTATGTTATGCTATGATACATACGATGTTTTAGGACTGAACCTATGTTATGCTATGATACATGCGATGTTTTAGGACTGAACCTATGTTATGCTAAGATACATGCGATGTTTTAGGACTGAACCTATGTTATGCTATGATACATACGATGTTTTAGGACTGAACCTATGTTATGCTATGATACATACGATGTTTTAGGACTGAACCTATGTTATGCTATATTAAATACGATGTTTAGGACTGAACCTATATTGTGTTATGTTACATACAATGTTTAGGACTCAACTAATTTGTGTTATTTTTAATACGATGTTTACGACTAAAACCAAAATGACCTATCTTAAAAACGATGTTTAGGACTTAACTGATTTGTGCTATGTTAAATACGATGTTTTAGGACTGAACCTATGTTATGCTATGATACATACGATGTTTTAGGACTGAACCTATGTTATGCTATGATACATGCGATGTTTTAGGACTGAACCTATGTTATGCTATGATACATACGATGTTTTAGGACTGAACCTATGTTATGCTATGATACATGCGATGTTTTAGGACTGAACCTATGTTATGCTATGATACATACGATGTTTTAGGACTGAACCTATGTTATGCTAAGATACATGCGATGTTTTAGGACTGAACCTATGTTATGCTATGATACATACGATGTTTTAGGACGGAACCTATGTTATGCTATATTAAATACGATGTTTTAGGACTGAATCTATGTTATGCTAAGATACATGCGATGTTTTAGGACTCAACCTATGTTATGCTATGATACATACGATGTTTTAGGACTGAACTTATGTTATGCTATATTAAATACGATGTTTAGGACTGAACCTATATTGTGTTATGTTACATACAATGTTTAGGACTCAACTAATTTGTGTTATTTTTAATACGATGTTTACGACTAAAACCAAAATGACCTATCTTAAAAACGATGTTTAGGACTTAACTGATTTGTGCTATGTTAAATACGATGTTTTAGGACTGAACCTATGTTATGCTCTGATACATACGATGTTTTAGGACTGAACCTATGTTATGCTATGATACATACGATGTTTTAGGACTGAACCATAACAAACATTACCTGCTTCAAATTTATCTTTGTGTTTTTTTCGTTCTTGTTGACGTGACGTATTTGAACTGAACCGATATTTCATGTGATATTTATCATGATGTTTTAGGGCTAAAATTGTGCTACAATTGTATCATGGGCGAGTTAACATGTAACTCGTAATTTAGAATAATAAATTCATGAATCAAAAGTTATATTTTTAAAACGGAAAAAACAAATTAATCAAGTTCATAGAGTTAATGTAAATCCGAGTCTCTCTCGTAACACGCCCATCAAGGCTGTTACCAGATAACACGATGAAAAGTCACTGAAGCATGGAACTTTGCATATCGAATTTAACGGTTGGGTGGTGTATTGATTTGGTATCAAGAACCCGCGCCGAGTGACATTACTTTCGTTGCTTCATTTCCTCAACAGTAATTGACACGGTTTGTTAATGGTCATCGCCGGTATATAGTTTTGATCACATATACGGAACAAATTTTAAATCAAAGGTCACGCTAAGTGACGCTAACCTGTTTTTGTTAAAACAATCAATGCTATTGAACCGATTCCTTTTAGGATGATATTTGTGTATGCTGTGACCCTGGGATGTTTGTCTGTATGTTAGACCTTCAACAAATATCGATCACCAATGATAATATACCTAGTACATCTGTCTCGAGATCGATATCGTCTATGAGGATACATAATCAAACAGATTATATTTAATGGATATAGTATTTAAAAAATGATATTGTTTCCTGATAGCCATGGAAAATTCGTACCTTATTAGAAATCCCTGATACCTAATTGTATATACGTTTTCTGAGAACCATGCCAAATAATGATTTGTGACGTCATCAAAACTTGATCAGTGATAATTTTTCAGTGTTATTATTTTTGTGATAATAATATTTACTTATCATTTGTAGTAGTTGAATACTTAAGAAGGCATCCCTGTTTGGCAGTATTATATTAAAAAAAAATCCAACACTTGGATCATCATAGATTTTACGGGTACATTTAGAGGGTGTAGCAAAATGATAAATTCAAACGATATTTCAACAAAAACCTACTAGATTTTAATATAATACCGACAAGCCTTTGCGAAGGATTTTTTTTTATCCTGTCAAAATTTTCAGTATGGTCTTACCTATCTATATTTTGTGTTCTAAGACATTTCGTTTCAAAAAATAATTATGATATTTATATATTATCTTTTGTCATGTCGTGTATAAACTGTTTCGACAGTCTTAAGACTGAAGTACGGGGGACGACAGACGTTTACAGAGTAAGACTGAAGTACGTGGGACGACAGACGTTTACAGAGTAAGACTGAAGTACGTGGGACGACAGACGTTTACAGAGTAAGACTGAAGTACGGGGGACGACAGACGTTTACAGAGTAAGACTGAAGTACGGGGGACGACAGACGTTTACAGAGTAAGACTGAAGTACGGGGGACGACAGACGTTTACAGAGTAAGACTGAAGTACGGGGGACGACAGACGTTTACAGAGTAAGACTGAAGTACGGGGGACGACAAGTACGGGGGACGACAGACGTTTACAGAGTAAGACTGAAGTACGGGGGACGACAGACGTTTACAAGGTAAGACTGAAGTACGGGGGACGACAGACGTTTACAGAGTAAGACTGAAGTACGGGGGACGACAGACGTTTACAGAGTAAGACTGAAGTACGGGGGACGACAGACGTTTACAGAGTAAGACTGAAGTACGGGGGACGACAGACGTTTACAGAGTAAGACTGAAGTACGGGGGACGACAGACGTTTACAGAGTAAGACTGAAGTACGGGGGACGACAGACGTTTACAAGGTAAGACTGAAGTACAGGGGACGACAGATGTTTACAGAGTAAGACTGAAGTACGGGGGACGACAGACGTTTACAGAGTAAGACTGAAGTACGGGGGACGACAGACGTTTACAGAGTAAGGCTGAAGTACGGGGGACGACAGACGTTTACAGAGTAAGACTGAAGTACGGGGGACGACAGACGTTTACAGAGTAAGACTGAAGTACGGGGGACGACAGACGTTTACAAAGTAAGGCTGAAGTACGGGGGACGACAGACGTTTACAGAGTAAGGCTGAAGTACGGGGGACGACAGACGTTTACAGAGAAAGACTGAAGTACGGGGGAAGACAGACGTTTACAGAGTAAGACTGAAGTACGGGGGACGACAGACGTTTACAGAGTAAGACTGAAGTACGGGGGACGACAGACGTTTACAAAGTAAGACTGAAGTACGGGGGACGACAGACGTTTACAGAGTAAGACTGAAGTACGGGGGACGACAGACGTTTGAATGAAGTACGGGGGACGACAGACGTTTACAGAGTAAGACTGAAGTACGGGGGACGACAGACGTTTACAGAGTAAGACTGAAGTACGGGGGACGACAGACGAGTAAGACTGAAGTACGGGGGACGACAGACGTTTACAGAGTAAGACTGAAGTACGGGGGACGACAGACGTTTACAGAGTAAGACTGAAGTACGGGGGACGACAGACGTTTACAGAGTAAGACTGAAGTACGGGGGACGACAGACGTTTACAGAGTAAGACTGAAGTACGGGGGACGACAGACGTTTACAAGGTAAGACTGAAGTACGGGGGACGACAGACGTTTACAGAGTAAGACTGAAGTACGGGGGACGACAGACGTTTACAGAGTAAGACTGAAGTACGGGGACGACAGACGTTTACAGAGTAAGACTGAAGTACGGGGGACGACAGACGTTTACAGAGTAAGACTGAAGTACGGGGAACGACAGACGTTTACAGAGTAAGACTGAAGTACGGGGGACGACAGACGTTTACAAGGTAAGACTGAAGTACGGGGGACGACAGACGTTTACAGAGTAAGACTTATCATATATATATATATATTATATAGATTGATCTAGATAATGTTCTGAACACCACGGACATTGTCGTTAAACCCTTCGATTCCATTAAGACAGGTAGTTTGTCGATTAACTTTATTCCTTCAGATTAATATTCTAGTGATCAATTACTTTGATATTTCTAGGTGTGTTGTCCTCAGCAGCTCATTATGGCTTTTACCTACTGATTTCGGCGTTAATGTGTGGCATCACGCAGCAATATTCAATGGGAATAATGACGTCATGGGTAGAGGGACATACTATTACAGGAAACGACATCCGCACAGTTCAGGTCAGGACGAAGGTAACGTCACTTTATGGCAGTCGATTGATTACAACAAAAGCACGTGTATGAAATCAAATGTATAGATATTTGTAAATTTCAATGTGAGACATAATCCATTACAGGCAAAGCAATCACTTTTATACTATAGAATTATTTTAACACAAATTTTCGGAAAAGATTTTTCGACGCTCACTGTCGCTGCTAAGAACAGATGTCAATGATTTCATAGTTCTGTGAATTCCTCAATTCTCAAATCTCGATCTGAATATTTTCACGAACCCTAGTCTATCGATTTCGGTAAGCTTTTAGCGGAATTATTGTTTTTCTCGTAACGATAGTATGTATGCATGGTTTACCCAGTTTGGAAGATGGCGGTATTGCTTAATAAAATACGATTGCCACTAGGGGTCACTGGCAAATCGTTGGAGTATTTCAACCATAACTGTGTTAGGTTTAGCATGAACAGTGTAGAATCGGGGGTTTGCTTCAATGGATTGCCTTTTTGTAAAGTTCTGATATGACCTTAGCCGTTGGTAACGACCGAGACATCCCTCCTGATATGACCTTGGCCGTTGGTAACGACCGAGACATTGCTCCTGATAGGACCTTGGCCGTTGGTAACGACCGAGACATCCCTCCTGATATGACCTTGGCCGTTGGTAACGACGGAGAACTCCGTCCTGATATGACCTTGGCCGTCGGTAACGACCGAGACATCCCTCCTGATATGACCTTGGCCGTTGGTAACGACCGAGACATCCCTCCTGATATGACCTTGGCCGTTGGTAACGACCGAGACCTCCCTCCTGATATGACCTTGGCCGTTGGTAACGACGGAGAACTCCCTCCTGATGTGACCTTGGCCGTTGGTGACACCATTAGTTCGGATTATATGGCTATTCGTGTTTGGGTATATAGCTTTTTTCTCTCTCTGTATCCTCTTTCCCTCACGGTTTCATGGTTTGTCCTTTGGCGAGTCACTTTTTGTCTTTCTGTCCAGAACTTAATAGTTGGAAGTTGGAAAAATCCATTGGAATTGTTCAACAAACTATGTTAAAATCAAAACGTTTTAGAATCACAAGATTTCAAACATAAAAAAGGCAAGACTGTACAACATCGAACAAACAATGTTATCAAATACACCATATTTCATTTGATATTAAATATCAATACTACTTAGATATAGAAATCTAAAGTGTTCGTTAACATCTAAATACAAATACTGATATACTAATTAGTCATGGTTTTAGTTAATTAATGTTAGGATGTTTTGATCTGACAGTTATGTTGTAATGTCTTCTAGTTTGTTATATCCTTGCAGGGGCGTAGCTTCCATAGAGAGAAAAAGCCCGGGCTTACACATAAAAAAATCCGTGCATTAAGTATGCTGGACAAAATTACAAAACTAGGGTTGAAAATAAATATCTAATACTTTTGATAAATAAAAAAAACATAAGTAGAAAATTGTTGAATAACTAGGCCTAGTGCATTGATTTATACACGTCATACTATTCTGCTTCTTATTATCATTTCAACGTTTCCGATTATAATGTTGTTAAAGTGCAAATTTTCAAAATGAAGAAGGCTTCTGGATTGCAGACGTCGATCGACAAGTTTTTCAAACAAAGTAAAGTCTTTTATTTAGTCAGGGGTTGAAGCTTGTTGTTAGATAAATAAATAAAAACTATCTCAGAAAACGATTCGTAAAGTAAATTAAGATATGAAAAAATCGAGATAAATATTGACGAATATTTTCCAAACTAGTGATCGTAAAATGGTGATTACATATTTAAGTAAACATGATTGTGTATCTTGTATGTATCCTATGTACATGTTCAGTAGTATATATTTGTGTAGTTCACCTCTGTCTACAGAAATACACATCCCGAGAGTACATCATTGTCCATTATGTCCACCCTAAAACAGCGTCATATTTAATTGACATAGTTCCTTAATAGGAATGAAATGGTTTTAATTGAGAGCCCTTGTCGCCGACATAACCGAAACGCCAAACACTAACCGCCGTGTCAACAAAAGGCAGTCAAAGAGAAAATACGTCATAACTATCTTTGTGATTTGTATTGTAAAGAAAAGCACATGCATTTCTGGAAATGATAGATTTGATATAAAACTAAAGTGGTCGTAAACTGGACAGAGTAATATCAACAGACCACGAGGTGACGGAGTGATATCAACAGACCACGAGGTGACGGAGTAATATCAACAGACCACGAGGTGACGGAGTAATATCAACAGACCACGAGGTGACGGAGTAATATCAACAGACCACGAGGTGACGGAGTGATATCAACAGACCACGAGGTGACAGAGTGATATCAACAGACCACGAGATGACAGAGTAACATCAAGTGACCACGAGGTGACACAGTAATATCAACAGACCACGAGGTGACACAGTAATATCAACAGACCACGAGGTGACACAGTAATATCAAGTGACCACGAGGTGACACAGTAATATCAACAGACCACGAGGTGACAGAGTGATATCAACAGACCACGAGGTATCAACAGACCACGAGGTGACAGAGTGATATCAACAGACCACGAGGTGACAGAGTAATATCAACAGACCACGAGGTGACAGAGTAATATCAACAGACCACGAGGTGACAGAGTAATATCAACAGACCACGAGGTGACGAAGTAATATCAACAGACCACGAGGTGACGGAGTAATATCAACAGACCACGAGGTGACGGAGTAATATCAACAGACCACGAGGTGACAGAGTGATATCAACAGACCACGAGGTGACAGAGTGATATCAACAGACCACGAGATGACAGAGTAATATCAAGTGACCACGAGGTGACAGAGTAATATCAACAGACCACGAGGTGACGGAGTAATATCAACAGACCACGAGGTGACAGAGTAATATCAACAGACCACGAGGTGACACAGTAATATCTAGAGACCACGAGGTGACAGAGTAATATCAACAGACCACGAAGTGACAGTAATATCAAGACACCATGAAAGCGGGAGAGCGAGATTGGTTTTTTTTTTCTATTGAATGTGCCTTGGTGATATCACTTAAATAGTAAGTTGATAGCGCGGATTAAATATGTTGTATCACCTTTTAATGAGGTCAATAACCTAAATGTTTGATTCTATGTTTTTATTTTTGTCTCAATGAGTAAGGACAAACTGCAACAACCATGTACTAAACTCATACCGTAGTGCTGTATATGTACACGTCATTTTGCAATAATATTTAACCATATCTTATTTAAACTAAGTCGCCTACGATAGCGGTGCCGAATGGGGACGGGAAATGACATTTTCTAATTCATGTACTGTGAATTCTACAAATATGTAAATGTTTTCACTATCTTATTGATTCTTATAGGCTTGTTACATAAAAAAACCTTATCGATTTTAATTTGTTTTAAATGAATTGATTTATTTTATACGTTGTGTAACTCTAGAAAATTGAAAAGAGAGTACTTCAAAGCTCTGATGTTTAATTTGAAAGCCCGAGGTTAAATCGTGATCCAATGCTACAAAAGCCACAAGGTCAAGGACAAATCAAAATAGCAAACTTCAACACATTGAGACATCGATATTGAGACGGGCGGTAGGGTTGCGTCAAAAATTTCTGAATGTAAATGTATTTAGGCCAAGGTTGAGGATTATACTACCTGTAACTCATATAATAAAAAGGCTCATTTGACCTAAGGAAGCGCATGATGAAACCTAAGTTTTAGGATAAAAAAATCGATATTTCTGCATCTTCATTTCCATATTTACGTCTTTTTCGAGGCGTCTATTACATCATTCTATCCCCAGGGTGTTCGGTACGACGCCATTTCTCTAGAGAGATCGTAACTGATTGTAACCCGTGGGTGTTCGAGGTGAGAATTCCCCAATCCATTTCTGCCTCGCGCAATTTCGATACGGACGGTGCAAATGTGTGCGACATAAACTTTTGTTGGTATGTTTTTCAAGTGCTCAGACCGTATCTGAGTATTTGTTAACGGATTGAAAACTAAATGTTGGACATTCGTTTGGGAACTAGGCAATTCTAACGTAGCGGTTTGAGGAAATAGCACGAGGTTAACAGAAAATATGGGTAAAAATTCTTTCATCTTATATAAACCACTTTACAAGTAGTCCCTGCAATTTGACGCCAAAATATGTGTCATTGAGACGCACTGTTTTCTGTCGCCTTTCCATTGTGATGTCACAATCACATTACGTCATTAAAGGTGACATCACAATTACACGTCTTCATTGAAATAAATTACACCTTTCGATACAAATTTAGGATGAGAAAGTGTTAAAATAGGAATTAAACGGAGTCTTCTTTTTGGGACTCCCCTAAATCCGGCAAAAATTTGGAAATCTAGGAGAGGATTCGGGAAAATCCAAAGTGATCGAAAGAAATGTAAAAATCTAGATGAGGAGGCGAATAAATGACGTCACGATCACCGTGTTGTCAGCTGTGTGCCGCCTTTTAATCATAAATGTATCGGATTTGTACCAGTTGTTCCGAGTCTGTATGGAACGCATGTGCTTGATTTGAGCGTGTTATTGTTCCCCAGAGAAAGTACATAGGGTTTTTAACAAAGGAATAGTTTGTTTTTTATATGAGATTCTGTGGTGATTGTCTCGTGATTTGTCTGCTGAAACATATGAAATTGATAAAATTATACAAATTACACATGTATTAGGGCGCTTCTATAATAGAAATCACCAAAAAAAATAACATAACATTTTAATGAAGTGTTTGTTTGTTTAAATCAAATCTTGGATATCTCTCCTGGCAACAATTTCAACATTCATATTAGGAAACCTTATTTGTATCAAGATTCCTTTATTACCGCACAGCATTCCCACAGCACGAACACTCTCTCTCTCCCCCCTCCCATCTCGATTCGTTCAACATATAAAAGCAGCAGTTTAATGTGTTCAAATCAAACGACGGATATAACCTCACCACAATGATCATGAAATCCTGACATGTTTGACGAGCAGAGCGGGAATAGGTTTTAAATCGTCAATAAGTTCTTTTCGGGTGTTGTTGTGTATTTCCGGATGTACTGAAATGACCGGGACCCCATGTCAGTGTTTATTATTAAGGCGTATGTTTGATGTGATATTTCAGTACAATGTCCTTGTGATTATTTCTAACACTGTGTCATGGCTTTTAGTTTCACCGCAATTTCATGTGTTTTCTCGATAATGTTTTAGTAAATGGCAATTAATATCAAGAGATTTGTCTGCCATCGATTTCCATTAAAATGTTGGCTGGCTCGTCTACTCCATTAGTGTGATGCTAATATTACACTCATCAGATGTCGGTGGTACAGTTCAACACACTGATCAATATCAGAAAATCGAGTACCACTTTCATACTATACACCAGTGACATTGTAGGTAGTGACGTTACTCGGGGTACAGCTGCACCGCTAAAGGTCAAAGGTCATCAGAGTACGTCTACCTCACGAATTCAATGAAGAAATGACCTCCTGATTATACCTGGGAACGGTTCTTTTTTTTAAGTTTGAAAAAACATGTATTGAGAGTAAACTCGAAAGTCTTTTTTAACTATGCGTCCCGGAATATGAAACGTATTGCGTCCCTGAACAGGACAATGACGGAAACCATTATCGTGGTTCGGTTGATATTGCCGACCAAGGTCGCAAAAAAGTAAAAATCTATTTAGCTGTAAGTACCTTATTGAACAGGTGCTTCTCCTAATGTCAAACTGTAGTATAATTACTACTGAGAGAACAGGGCTCGTATTCATAAAACCGTTCTCATGCTCAAGCATGAATTTTGTGCTCAAGCCTTATGTCTTGTTTAAGTTAAAAATTGATAAATAAGACTGATTTTGCCAATTATTTAAAAACAATTTTGAAAAGACTTCACGTGAAAGCTGTATTTAATGTTTATATTTGACATTTGTATTATTTTATATGATTTAGGTAAATTATAAAACGTTTGCTTGAGAATAAGAAAGGTTTCGTGAATACGGACCCTGGTGTTCTACTGATGTCAGACACCTGTAGTGTCATTAGTACTGACAGAACAGGTGTTCTACTGATGTCAGACTTCTGTAGTGTAATTACTACTGACAGAACAGGTGTTCTTCTGATGTCAAACTTCTGTAGTGTCATTACTACCAAGAGAACAGGTGTTCTACTTATGTCAGACACATGTAGTGTCATTACTACCAAGAGAACTGGTGTTCTACTGGTGTCAGACTTCTATAGTGTCATAATACTGACAGAATAGGTGTTCTACTGATGTCAGACACCTGTAGTGTAATTACTACTGACAGAACAGGTGTTCTACTGATGTCAGACCTCTGTAGTGTCATTACTACTGACAGAACAGGTGTTCTTCTGATGTCAGACACCTGTAGTGTCATTACTACTGACAGAACAGATGGTCTACTGATGCCAGACTTCTGAAGTGTGATTACTACTGACAGAACAGGTGTTCTACTTATGTCAGACACATGTAGTGTCATTACTACCAAGAGAACTGGTGTTCTACTGATGTCAGACACCTGTAGTGTCATAATACTGACAGAACAGGTGTTCTACTGATGTCAGACACATGTAGTGTCATTACTACCTAGAGAACTGGTGTTCTACTGATGTCAGACACCTGTAGTGTCATTACTTCCTCGAGAACTGGTGTTCTATTGATGTCAGACTTCTGTAGTGTCATTACTACTGACAGAACATGTGTTCTACTGGTGTCAGACTTCTGTAGTGTTATTACTTCTGACAGAACAGGTGTTCTTCTGATGTCAGACACCTGTAGTGTCATTACTACTGATGTTGGGTTCTCGGAAAGCCAAGGTCAGGGATTGCCATGTGATGTTGGGTTCTTGGGAAACTGAGGTCAGGGATTCCCATGTGATGTTGGGTTCTCGGAAAGCCAAGGTCAGGGATTCCCATGTGATGTTGGGTTCTCGGAAAGCCAAGGTCAGGGATTGCCATGTTATGTTGAGGTTCTTAGGAAGCCGAGTTCAGGGATTGCCATGTTATATTTTGGTTTTATCTTTGTCGTCATTAGCTCTATGCTGCTTCACATGCTTATTAACGATGTAGTCATAAGTTACTACAGGGAGCCCCCATCCTTCCCTCTGTGTTCCACTTTATGACATGATCACTTTGTTATGTACAAATATTAAGTTGATGTTAAGTATGATCACTACAAGTATCAATATAATATGAACTTCTGTTCTTTTTTAGCATGAGTGTGCTTTGCATTGCGTGTCGGATGCCTCTTGTGCAGCGGCGGCCGTTTACTGCAAGTTGCCCGTTGGGAGTGAAACTTTTAATTGTGAACTTAAGTTTGGGAGTAATTTGTTGACCTATACTATTGTAAACAACTCCGACATGTGTTATTCCATAGTACAATCTCGGGGCGAGTACATCAATGGTGTCAGTGTTAACGATATATCAACGACAAGTCCAGCTGTGACCACCACAACAACTATACCGACAACTACAGTGTCTGGTTCAGCTAAGGTAAGATATGAAGTACTGACAACTACAGTTTCTGGTTCAGCCAAGGTAAGATATGAAGTACTGACAACTACAGTTTCTGGTTCAGCCAAGGTAAGATATGAAGTACTGACAACTACAGTTTCTGGTTCAGCCAAGGTAAGATATGAAGTACTGACAACTACAGTTTCTGGTTCAGCCAAGGTAAGATTTGAAGATTTCCACAATTCTTCCCTTTCCAACCATGTAGATTTTCATAAACTAAGCCACCGAGACATAAACAAAACTTATATATATTTTCAATGAACTGCCCGAGTGGCTATAGAAAATCAAGTCTATACAAATGGCAGTTGAATAAGATACAGACAAAATCTAGCTTGACATTTCTGAAAAGAAAATTATGTCACAGCATCAACAAAGAAAAACAATATATACCTAAGCATCGGCTCATTCAGACAAAAATGTCACACAATGACAAACTTTTGTAATAAAGGCTCTGAATAAATGCTAAGAGTGTGATGTTTGAATTTGAAACAGCTTGAATGACATAGATTGAAGTATCTATGTATATAAACTGATTTTTTAAACTTTTACATTCCAGTCGGGGATAAGAGCAGGTATAGGAAACCTGAATAACATGTGTTCCGGCTCATCATCTGTTGACATAGCTCTGATCACTGATGACGGGGTGTACCTATATGATGACATGGGGTCCCTCACGACAGGCGCATGCTCGGGACCACAGGCGATTACAACAATATTCTCGGGCTATAGTGGTGGCAAAGCGCTGCCATCGGTATCGGACATCATATGCCTTATGGTGCACCAGAATAATGATATTGATATGTTTGACAGTAAGTACACACACGTACGCCTGTTGTAGTTTCATTATCTGCTGAATATCGCTGTGAACAAAGTCACAGATTTTACAAAAATGAATACATCTGGAATAATTCAAATTTTATTTTACGTTGTTGAAGTGTCAGTGATCTACAACGACATCGTGTTTGTGAAATTTCGTTGATAATTTGGTATTATCACATTTGTACAAGTATCTATCAATATTTGTGTCCAAAGTCACACTTGTACAATAATCCATCTACATTTAAATCAAGATCACATTTGTACAAACATCATCAACATCTATGTCAAGGTCACTCATACTTGTACATACATTCATGAAAATTTATGTCAAGGTCACACTTACGCAAATATTCATCAATATTTAAGTCAAGGTCACATTTGTACAAACATTCATCAACATCTAAGTCAAGGTCACACTTGTACAGACATTCATCATATGTATGTCAAGGTCACAGTTATTACAATCATCAATATATGAGTCAAGGTCACATTTCTATGTAAATCATCGATATCTATACAGTACGTTAAGGTCCCGTTTTACCATTTTTTCAAAAAATCTGATTGTTTCGATATTTTTTTAGATTCCAGGGTATGGCGATGGCAAGTACAAAGTGGTAACTTATGGAGCCTGAGTGACCAGTCTTATCCAAAGGACATCTCAACGCATTTTGGTGTGACCAATTCAAATATTCCCCCAAGCAATTCGGACTGGTGTGTAAACCGGGAGAAAAATGGCCGACAAGACAGATTTTTCTACAATAGTGATATGCTTTATTTTTACAGTACACAAAGTCCATACACTGACACATACGCGCCCTCTACCACAGGTAAAACAAATAACGGGTACAACCTCAACCCCTGGACGCAATTACCGGTGGAGACTCTTGTAGCAGTGATTTCTCTCAGCACCGACAATGATGACTTTGTTATGATCGGTGAAAGCATGACATTATACCGTTATCAGATGGACCACACAGCTAACTCAAACGACCCTCCCATCTCTATGACCACTCTGGGAACTCTAGTATTCTAACAATACAGGTATGGCGATGGCAAGTACAAAGCGGTAACTTATGGAGCCTGAGTGACCAGTCTTATCCAAAGGACATCTCAACGCATTTTGGTGTGACCAATTCAAATATTCCCCCAAGCAATTCGGACTGGTGTGTAAACCGGGAGAAAAATGGCCGACAAGACAGATTTTTCTACAATAGTGATATGCTTTATTTTTACAGTACACAAAGTCCATACACTGACACATACGCGCCCTCTACCACAGGTAAAACAAATAACGGGTACAACCTCAACCCCTGGACGCAATTACCGGTGGAGACTCTTGTAGCAGTGATTTCTCTCAGCACCGACAATGATGACTTTGTTATGATCGGTGAAAGCATGACATTATACCGTTATCAGATGGACCACACAGCTAACTCAAACGACCCTCCCATCTCTATGACCACTCTGGGAACTCTAGTATTCTAACAATACAGGTTCCATGTATAACCATGGTACAATTCTTAAGTTGATAAAAAAATCAACGATGGAAGACTGGACGATAAGTCTGGGTCAAAGTGATTTCACGTCACATTTCTGTTATCTCAATTACATAATAGCAAATGTTATTGAAATAGGAATAATTTATTCAAAATCGGTAGTTTTAGATCATTGACATTCTGTTTTCTAGTCATCATGCCTTCTGGATTCCTAAATTTATATTTACTTTCTGTTTTCGCTCCTTATATATTAGCCGTGACATATTTCTTAGGAGATGTCATTTCCTAATAGAGAAGATATTTCTGACACCCTGTATTTGCCATTTGCGACCTCCTTCAGTCATCATCCCCGACTTCCGTCAGGAGATACTTCAGACTTCTTACAGTCATTATCTTTACAACTTCCTAGAGTTTGATATTTCAGACATCATATAGTCGCCAATTACAACTTCCTAAAGATGATATTTCAGACATCATATAGTCGCCATGTACAACTTCCTAGAGATGATATTTCAGACATCATATAGTCGTCATTTACAACTTCCTAGAGATGATATTTCAGACATCATATAGTCGCCATTTACAACTTCCTAGAGTTTGATATTTCAGTCATCATATAGTCGCCATTTACAACTTCCTAAAGATGATATTTCAGACATCATATAGTCGCCATTTACAACTTCCTAGAGATGATATTTCAGACATCATATAGTCGCCATTTACAACTTCCTAGAGATGATATTTCAGACATCATATAGTCGTCATTTACAACTTCCTAGAGATGATATTTCAGACATCATATAGTCGTCATTTACAACTTCCTTGAGATAATATTTCAGACGTCTTACATCTTGTCATATGAGTCCCCCCTCCCCCTGGATTCATCATATCCAACCCCTAGATTCGATATTTCAGACTTTCAGTCGCCATTTTAAACATCATAATGTCATCATTTCGGGCCAGACTTGAGAGTTGTCAATTTGAAATAAAACCCCTCGGATCATGTTTCAGAACTCCTCGAGTTAAAAGTTCTTTGTTGTTGTGTCTACATTAGAGTTGTTTATTTACACTTGAAGTGAGATACCTGTGTTGTGTTACATTAGTAAGACATAGATATAAATATCCATGGAATCGTCTATTTCTCAAGAGTCGAATTAATAATAATAAATTTATGTTCTATTCAAGTGAGTACTGCCATGTATCACTTGTATCAGACGAATACCCAGCATATCTTTCACACGTAAGTGTATGACCAAAAAAACTGCTACTATGTCGAACATTTAAGTATATGAAAAGTTTGAATGGCGACTGTCAATTGTAAGTGTTATTTAGTTTAAACAATAGTTATTAAATAATTCAACATTATTACACACACGGACGCTACTTTAGAGATGGGAAAACAAGCTTGGATTAATCAGTGACTAATCGATGAAGTTGACAGCGTTTTTTTGTTTGTTTGTTTGTTTTTATTGTAGCTGCTGATGTTGCAAATTATACAAATCATGTCACTTTTAAAATATTCAATAAATAACTTAATCTTGCTTTGTATTTAGTTACTGTAGCTCCAGTACAAAATATTGTTTTATACTGTAATATCTTTATCAAAGTCCGACTGATGACACGCTTTGTATTTTAAAGGTTATGTGTATGATTAGTGTAGAACTGGTCTCGGAAATTGGCGGAAGGGCGATAACTCTTGTCAGACTTCTAGCGATAAGGTAGCAGGAAACAGTCAATTTGCATTTTTCCTGAAATTATTTGTCATGTTTGAGATATACAGGTATAACAGATTGGTTATGAAAAATACATCATTACATGTATATATATTTATAAACTACATAACAATTACATTAACAGTAGAGAGATGAAATTTGTGTAAATCTGACATTTGATTGTCATGGTTACCTACTGGAAAAATGCTAAAAATGCAAAAATACTGCTAATACCAACCTATTACTACAACTTTCTAGAAGAAATTTAATTCTAAACGCCTATATTAAAATCAACAACACTGTCTGTCGTGATTCCAACTCGGAAATCCTTCATAACATGACCACATGTAAACACTATGAAATTTTCACTTCCTGTAAAGCTAGTTTTTGGTGCGTAGACACATATTCGAGACAGCCCAAATAGTAATCTCCAACACAAAGCTAAAATGATATTCTGAAAAAAATGAATCCCCACATTGTCCACTTTAACATGGAAAGACCAATTTTAGCAAGGATTTATTTTTTCAATTTTAATTAAAACCTTTATAATGCGGTAATCTAATGAACAAAAAAATCACCAATGGTCACACCGAGAAACTGTGTACTGCTACCTCTAACGATAAGTTTATCGTGGAACTCTTCTTTTTAGGAGGAGAAATTGTATTTTGAGTAGGGTATCCTAAGAAATACAGAGCAGGTGGCCCAAAAGAAGAGTTGATTTAATATGTTAATTTTATCTAATGCTGAGCTAAATTCCCCCGACCGATACATTTGTCTTTGTTTAAATATCCACATATATACACAAAAATTGTGTTACAGTTTCGAAATGTTGATAAATAGATTCCATTCGATTTATAGAGGGATTGTTTGAAATCATTTTCTTGTATCTTCAGTCATAGTTTCATACGATGAGAATATTATTCACAACATACTCGCCCAATAAGTTGGTATTAATTTTAATTTGTAGACTAGTTTCGCCTCTGTTGTTGTGGCTTCATCAGAACAATTTTTTCCCGGAGTTCCTCCCTGAAGTACTGTCAGGGAGGAAAACTTTTAACTGTTATCTTCAACGTAATGGACAATTAAACTGAGATGCCTTAAAGTGTGGTACCATGTTGGCCGATATGCTGGTCTTTTCCTACGTTTTCTACTCTGAGTGTCTTCTCTTGGCTGTTCAGTTAGTTATCCCTGAATATTTCAACTGATGAATTCAATGTGAAATCAGAGTTCTGTTGTTTTGACATTATAGATAGTATGAACTAGTCACGATCCAGGTTTTAGGGTTCCTCCGATAGATCCGAATTTCCGTTGAAGTTTCAGTCATAGTTTTAGATGGATGTGACAATAAACACATTGAGATATGAGAAAAACAAGACCATTTTGTATTAAAGCTTCTTTAATCCACATAGTAATGACACAATAGACAACATGATTGGCTGAGGTAATAGCCACCGGGGTTACTAGCACCAGTGGGAAACATGAAAATTAACAACTATGGATGTGAATGTAACCATGAAGATATATGCCTAGTCACCGAGGCAACAAATTCAGAAAGTACGTTGATAGGATATCAAATTCTGAAAATATATCTCCTTGACAGCAATGATTCTTGAAAAACTCAAACATTTGTCAAAATTACGTATAAAAAGTGTTGTTTTTGTGAACAGAATGAAAGAAAATGCTTTGAAATACTTGATTAAATTGCACTCTCAGACTAAAAAGAATTATCACCATGGTTACACTCAATATGACACACCATCATCTGCGACGAAGGTGAAGTCGAATGGTTCAATGACTGAATGAAGGAATGAATATCATTGTGAATGACAAAGACCTCTGTATATATGTAGCACTTAGATTGAAGCTATGGTCAATCAGGAGTTTATCGTTTAACATTTAAAACACAATAACAACGAGGCCAAGACTCCTTCAGGACAAACGTAAGAGTTTACAAGTTTATACTAGATAAAATAACAGGATTTACACAATCAGTAACAATCGTCAACAAAAACAAGGACTAAAGTCATTGGTCCTCGTCCCGATTTCTCAACAAAAAACACAGGCTGTTTAGGCCTTCAAATTTTCCTACAAATAATGTATTGCCAAGTTATCTATTTAATTCACCCAAATATGGCAAAAATTCTCTTGACTATGACAACATAACGAAGACAAACGAAGTATCATAAAAAGCACTTAATGAAAGTTCTATGGTAAAAATTCCTATTACGAGGATATATTCTGAGTACTTTTTGTGAGAAACTGGGACCAGAGACTAAATCTAACATTTCTAGTTATGCTTCAGTTACTGCCAAGTCTACCTGTTTGTTCTATATAAAAGGTGGTCAGTTTAACTGACCAGTACCAATATACACATGAATTAATTACTACGTCTGCTTTAAAATAAACACATCTGCATACTTTTCA